CTCTAGATTTACATCTTATTCCAATTATTCTTCTTATTTTAGTATTAGAATAACGCAATAGTAAGAGAGACGAAATTAGTTCGTTATAGCAATAGGTAAGAATTATTATAGCTATAAGTAAAGTAGGAACGGTATGAAATCTACAACCGAAATATAATTAGGGGTTTTTATCCGGCAGCGCTTAACGCCGTACGGTTTTCCCCTCTAGGGAATTAAAGAAGGAGCCTATGCTAAAAAGGCATTATAGTTATATAGTATAGGGAACAAGATTATTATTATTATTATTATTATTATTATTATAATTATTATTATTATTATTATCATTATTATTATTATTATTATTATTATTATTATTATTATTATTATTATTATTATTATTATTATTATTATTATTATTATAGGTTTTTTTTAACGATTTTACTCCCTATTTTCTTTTAACAATTTCACTCCCTAATTTTTCTTAATTCTTCTTTTTTTTTAATTTCTATTTATTCCAACCAGGGGGCTTCGCCCCCCGGGACCCCCTATTAAAAGAGCTAGAGTTAAGAGAAAGAAACCCGGGGGACACCCCCGGGGACCCCTATTAGAAGGGTTAGGGTTAAATAAGACCCGGGGGACACCCCCGGGGACCCCCATCGAGTGTACGGGCTACAATATTTCTAACTAATCTAAGGACCGGATAATTCAAATAATTGACCAATTCAAAGAAAGGATTACAGAATTGACGGACCACTTACAAGACGAAGAACTTACAGGGGTCTCGCACTATTAGAAAGAAGTTCCGCTATGTTCGTTCACTTCGTGTAAATACTTCATTTTCTGACTATAACAGCTGCGCTTCAATTAATTATTCGTAATTGAATGTAACTAATAGTAATTATATATAATTGAAATTAATTAATTTAGGCGAGATTACGTACGTTGCGTTGGGGTGTTGTGTTGTGACGTGCGATAGTTGGCGGTGTAAAATGGGTGTAAATGATTGTGTGAAAAAGCGTGAAGGAAATGACCAAGTTAGAGTTGATGTTGCGTGTATAGAAAAGACGAAATTTTGCGGGTAAAAACGGGGATTTCGATGTCAGGAGTCATCCAGCTGTCAGATCCACTTTTTATGGAAACTAGGTATGGGAAGGTTTGGGGTGGGTGCACGTAGGCTTTCTGTTCCTTATAAACTACATACCTATATAGATATAACTAGCCTAGTAACTATAACGATTATCTTTTTAATAAGGGGTACTATAAGACGATAACCCTATCGGGTAGTACCAACCTAGTCGGGACGACCTGGGTAACCAAGCGCCACCAGCAGGCAGGTATGTCGGACTGACCTATATCGCTAGGGTATAAAACCCAGGCAGCATATAAACCTTAAGCAGGATAGTTCATTAGACAATTAATATAATTAGATTAAATTATTTATATATTAATACGCTAGTTCATCTCACACTACCCTTCCTAACTTTATAATTAATTCGATAAATATAGAATAACTTCATTAAATATTAAGGGGATAACCTATTCCGGCTAATATTTGAAATCTAGTTAATATACTAGTCTAACCTACTCCTGGGCAATATCTTCCAATTCAATCCTTTATTAAACCCGGTCCCTTATATAATATTCCTAAAAGAGAATACGATAGAATTTAACCTATTCTATTAGAGGTATTTCTAATACTCTATCCCCGAGGGCAAACCGATTCTATTGAACCCTGAATCTGTTCGATTAAATACAATAACTATATTACATATATACTCAAATAGCATAATAGCCGATTTGCTCGATACTATTAGTTTCCTTTCATTATTCATAATATTATGATATATTAATAAGCTAATTGAAAAGCTAGTTTTGCGTACAGTCTGGTCGTAGTAGTATAAATAATAAGGGTTTAGCTAGTATTAAAGTATTAAGGGAAACGGTTGAACTTAATATTCCGGAAGCCCAACGGCTATTCTATCCAATTGTTCGATTTACTAATATGATACACAGTATACGATTATACTAGATACGGAAAAGCCGTAAACTTCGTACTTATATTAAAGTATTAGGTATACTAGCTATATTCATAACATTTAGCGCGGCCGATATATATTAGGAAAGCCTTACTCGTTATATACCTAATTACAAAAAATAGAAGACTATTTTAGCCGATAATTAGAAATGAATTATAAGGCACAACCTTAAAGAAAACCCTTATATCGCTATATACTACTTTAAGAGACGTTTTAAACTATTTCAATAATATATTTTACTTCCAAACTCTAAGATTTAAAATTAGTAGTATTGTATTGAGTTTTAGGCACGAGGAAACGGTTACAACTATGGCGTTTATTAGGTCCCCTATATCGAAGTATTTGAATTAGCTAATGAGAATATTCGCCGGGAATTTGTAGGATTCTAAAGTTACTATATTGTTACTATCAACTAAAAACTAGAAAGAATTAACCAATAGAGTAAAGAGGATTCTCTATCCATTATTATTAATAATGATAAAGGCCAATTCCTTCCTACTCTCTACTGTTTATCCCGAATAATTAACTATATACAGCGCTATAGCCGGTATATAGATAACTACTATCTTCGAGTTAGATAATTTAACTAGGGTGCCTTTTGGCCTAAAAATTATATTCTTAAAATCTACTATTTCTATTTCCTAAGAAATTACTATCCTAATTTACATTTTATATAAAATTTTAACCCTAAATATTAGTTATATAATAGGGAAAGAAACGACGATTATATAATTAATTATAACCGGATAACTACTATTAAATAGTATAAGAATATAGATTTACAACTTTATACCAATTATAACACCGTTATTCACTATATTACTAGATACTATTGAAAAGTAGAAAAGTAGTCTAAACTTTGTTAAGAAATTACTTAATAAATTGCACCCTATATTGCTTCCGACAATTATATCGTTTTTTTTTACTATGAAGATAATAAATCAATTTATTATTAAGCGAAACTAATCTACCTAAATCACTAGTTATCTATCGCTTAGCTTACCTCTAGAATAGAATACCCGAATTATCGTCGATATAGATTACCGTAACTTAAATAGACTCCCTAAACCGGGAGTGATTATTCAATAAGGCCAGTAAATGCCAACTCGTACTTAATATACTAAATATTTATTTCGCCCCAATAACCTCGAAAATATCAATTACTTTAAGTAGCTCACTCGGTTCGATACTACTTATGATCGACGTTTTAGAGGCCGGATTAAAAAGAGCGTATTGAATTGCTACCCTATTTACAAATACGAGGACGATATTTAGAATAAAGATTAGTATAAAGTTAAATTGATATTATATCATCCCTATCGTACCTATATCAAAATGTTTAGTATTATAAACCGGAATAGAGTTCGGGAACAGTTAGAGACTTACTTTAATATATATTTAATTTATGTAAAGGTCTATACTAGGGACTTGGATCACCCTCACAATTACTACAACAGTATACCCGATAGCGAACCCGATAAAAATTTCGAACCCACTATTAACTTGGAAAGGTAGAGAGAACTATAGCAACTTTTAGCTAGAAATCTTTCTTATTATTAACGGATTAAAAATACCAGTAATTTTAATATACTTAATTACTATAGTTAAAAGATTTTATATAATTAGTATAACTATTTAGGATATTAAAACTTATGAAAACTATAATAGGATTATTAAAAGAATATAAAAGCTAATAACCTACAATTAATAGCAAATATTCCCGCTCTTACATCGCAGGCTATCCAAAATCTCAACGTAGAATAAAAGGTTATATTTGACCAATTTATTCGTTATTATCAATTTATTCTTAATTATAACAATAATATTCAATGGCGTCCACGTATTGAAATTCGAATGAATAGCTACAATATATAATAAAACCCTACTAATTATTAAATATACTCCAACAGGGGTAGCAGCCAGCAATATCAATAGCCAAACCTTATATTCTTTCCTAAAACCCCTATTACTCCTAAAAATATTAACTAAAACGATCCGGAAGTAGTTATTATAATACTAGAAAATATTAATCTAACCCAACATCAATACTAACTACAGCCGTATCGTTACTTTATTATTAATAAAAAGTCTATACTGGGACTTCGAACTCTCAATTTCGTCAATTAAAGACTACATTAAGCTTTCCCAAAGTACTAGAAACAATTATTTAATAATTAAATTATTCTTCTATTTAATAACTTTTATTAATTACCCCCGGTTAAATGGAAACCGTTATTTTATAATTAATAAATTTTACCTAGTATTAAGGCTATCGGTCGTATATATTACTATACTTTCAATAAGACCGTTAAATTATAATAAGTTATACAGCAATAGGGTAATAATCAAACTGGATTTAGGACAGCGCTCGAAGGACTACGAAGCAACTAATCTACTCGACAATACTAGGAATTACTATATTTTCAAATATAATTAAAACTACTACTAAATAAACAAACTAAATTTATTAATCCTTTACATATCTATCCCAAACACAAAAATATTATAGCTTATAACATTCAATATATAGAAATATTAAATTAACCCTATTTTATCCTCTCAACTAAATACGCCGGCCTTAGTATTAAAGATGTAAATCCTACTAATATTAATAGTTTATAACTTAAATTCCCGTTAATAGTAGGTAATAGGGTTATACTTATTAACAATATTTAAATTGAAAGTAACTTAATCGATAGTACTTTGGATATTATTTTTAATATTGTATAGGATTCTAACCTTCCTACCCAAAATATCATTAACAAATAATACCCTTATAGTAATCTATTTATTATGCTCGTTGAGTTTAACCGGTATATTAAGCCTTCTTATTTCCGTATTAAAGAAAATTAACATTATTTCCGTAATATCGTCCCTATGTTTTGAATTAAACGAGACTTCAGGTTTTACTAAAATACTTAATATACAAGGACACAATTTTCTTTAATTATTATATATACTATTACAATATATAAAGTACAAAGTTCTACCCTTAATATAGCTATACTAAATATTTCAAAGAGGGACTTTCAAATTAAATTTATAGATGTAGTATATAGTAGAGTCAAAACTTCACAAAACCTTATATTTAGTATTCTTATTAATTTAAACGCTCTGTATATAATATTTAACTATATATTTCTTATAAGAGCAACTAACAAAGTAAGAAAATTGCTAGAGTAGCTCCCAGTCCCGGACATATAGGCAAATACTAATACTCCAACTACCTAGTATTCCTACTTCCAGTCCGGTAATAACATACGGATATTATTCAAATAATATATATTCTACTTTATATATATATACATATAATTTTAATCAATACTTTAAAGCGTACTTTCCTTTACTTTATATTTAATAGCATTAATACTACTCCTTCCATTTCATTTCGTACGTTATTACCTAAATAATATCCCTTTCGTTTCTCTCTACGTCTCCCTCTCCCTCTCTCCCTCTTGCATTCAACGTTTTTATTACCTTCATCAACCATTAATTATCAACTATCAATTATCAACCATATACTGTATTAGTCATCTTTAAAGATAATAATCTAGAGCTCGAACACCCGCTTAACAATATAATAAAAGAAGAAGAAGAATACTATAACTTACTCGCCCTTAAACAATAACAGACTTCTATTAACTAAGTTAGTACTAAAATATTTTCGTTAAGTAAAAATGAATTTACTTTTAAAAAGACTACGGCTACCCTTAGCATTTAATTCCCTATTCCTTCAAAGTAATATATGACCCTTATTATTATTTATAATTTAAATTATTCTAAATAAGAATGTAGGTAGATAAAAAAAAAGGAGTTTAATTCGACTCATTCTACGTACCCTAATTAAATACTTTATAATATACCCTTCTTCAAAATAACAATTAACAGTACTAGAAGATAGTACGAATTACGGCGGTCTTATATCTCCTGTTTCCCCTAAAAGGCCTATACCTATAATTAATACCTACAATAAATAAATTAGAAGATGAGAAGGATTTGAAAAATATTAGTAATATATATTTGAGCATTTAAACGAAAAAATAGTTACTAGTAAGGAATTGAACACGAGAACTCTCTATATACTAATACTAGTAGCGGTAGGAGCCTCCTCCATACCACTTTACTACGGGCGTCCCCATAATACCCCGGGGGGGGGGGGGGGGCTGGTAATAATAGGGTAATTGGAAATAAATTATATAGGCTAATTAAAGTATTCTAAGAGTATTTACTAGTTTATAAGCAAAATAATAGCAAGTCTCGTAGAAAGAGTCAGATCTAATAGTATTTTGTCTAGTATTATACCCCTAAGTACGAATTCGAATTACTAAGAACCTTCCGTACTTCCCGTCTTGGCATTTCTTGGTATATAGACTCTACTGGCTTACGTAATGTAGATCCAAAGCACGCTTCCATATACACCGGGCATTGCCTAAGCTGAGGATCCAGCATCGCACCGGTGTCTGAGAACTATTTTAATAATAGCGGGCTTAAGAGTGTTTTATACTTATAGAAACGTATTAATTATTAAGACGGATATAGGAATCGTAATGTATTAGGCTCTTAATCTTAATTAAGAGAGTAATTGTACCTATAATACTAATTTTAAATCCGTCTCTATCATCTATTAACGCCTTAATAAGGGGAGAAATAGGTCGGTAACCGGTCCGGAAAATAAATAAAATTATATTAGTACTTTTTATCATAGGGGGCGATGGCGGTAGTAGCGCTGGTTCTATTGAAATAGAACTAGTAGATCTATAATTGAGGATTATCATTAATACCGGTATTTCTTGATAGGATTAATAATTCTCTATTTCGGAATTAGTAATATAGTTGGGGGAACCTTACTACGGATATCCGACATCAAACCCGGTTAGTAAAGATTTTCGGAGCCGCCGATTAGTCTTTGGAAAAATCAATAGATAGGTAACGGCCCTTATAGGCCGGGTTAGTAAAATATATTCTATATTAGCTGTAATCGATCTTACGTTTATAGTATTATAATTATAGGAACGCTAAAATAGGGTAAACCTCCGCACACCCACCCCAAACCTATATACACCCAAATAGGAAGGATGTCAGCTGTTATATAAAATACATCGTTTTAGTTGTAAAAATCGTAGTTTGTAATATCGCACAACATTCTAATCCAATAAATCCCATACAGCAAATCTAACAACGCCAATCTAGTAATACTCTCATAGTATTGAGGGAACTCTACTCTACTTTAAATACTAATATCTAACAACTTAGACAGTTTATTAAAGGAGGCTATTAATAATATTTTAATAACCTCCTTCTCTCTCGTCTCCCTCGCCATCGACTCATTTGCCTTCGCCTCCTAATATCTACCCAACTCATTATCCTCATTATTATCAACTACCTCAATATAATTACATACTTTATTTTAAGCATTCAATTAGGCATTTACTCGGGGGGCACCAGCCTTTAGTTACGGGGGCCCCAATCCTCATTGGGGCCCCAATATTTCAAGGTTTAGCGCGTCATTTACTCGTAAATTATCATTTACATAGGAAATTCCATACTATTACACACTATACCTAACAATACGAGAAATGCCTAGTAACATGGTTTTGTATAGAGATGTCTATGGTATATAATATTTTAAACATTAGGGAATATATTATATATATCTACAATTACTTCTACATTTCTATCTACATACGTAAAGGTATACCCTCAAGTACTCATAGCCTTCCTTTTCCTACATTTAACTGCCTACTTAACTGGGGAGCTCAATTCTACAACCACTTATATAATATCTAATACTACCTCTAACTCTAGAAATAACCACCACCGTACTAAAGATAACCACTCTAACTCTAACTCTAACTCTAGCGTAGGCTCTAGCTCTAGCGTAAGCTCTAAAAAAGGCGAGAACTCTAACTATAACTCCAGCTCTCAAGAAGGCCCTAAATTTAATACTAGAAAAAGTTCAAAGGGTAGAAGTTTTAGCGGTAGAAGCTCTAGAAGTAGGAATATTATTACCTCCATCTCTAGCACTAACTCTAACTCTAAATCACTTTTAAATATTATATCCAACTCTCTACCATAATTAGAAGTATTAGAACTAACCGGCTCTTATATCCACTTACATTTCGTACCCCTATTTTTAAAAGAACTAGGAACTAACTCATTAATATCATTACTCTCCCAATAAAATAATCTACATCTTATATTAAACTATAAACAAGGGAGATTCTAACGGTTACTCTATTTAATAGGCTTCCCCTTCTTATTTCTTTTCTTTCAATTAAATATAGAAATAAGTATATATTTATTAGGTACTACTCTAGTAGAATTCTTAGGTCGACCGCGACGTATTATTGCAATACGAGGATCTCTAAGACGAAGGTAGAAATCGTTAATATCCCATTTAAATAAAAATTAATTAATAATATAATCTATAGATATATAAGGGACTGTAACTTACAAGAAGCACTTTAAAATGCCAGTAGAAACAGATATAGCTAAACTTCAATAGTTTTTCAATAACTAACTACTTAAATATATCGTAGCGGCAAAGTAGCCCGTATTGAAGGGGGACACTAGAATCCTTATTATAAGGGGGGAGAGGAGGAGGGTTTCTACGCTAATCTATTAACCGGCTTCTATCTACTTAAAGATATTCTTAATTAATTATATCTGATACCACGAATATAATCTACAATAGCACTTAGCCTAAGTAACTACGAGCAATATACTCGTAATATTAACGAATCTAGTAATTTATTAACTTCTACTTAAAAGTTCTATATTATTCTTCAACTATTTCGAAAATAGTAGAGACCAACTTAAAAATATCATTATTATCATTAAAAAAGTAACTCTTAACACTAAAGTTACTTGATTCAATTAGGGAAGTAATCCTTATACCAAAATGTCTATACTACTTAATATAGTAATATGCCTATTAATCTCTAATAAATAGCCAATTCTTTTAAATATTACGAAGGACTAGCTTCTAAAATAAAAAGCATCTTTTCATATTCTCCCAAACAATAAAGAAATCATCCTCTATATAGCTATATATTATAAGCTCAAACTATTTCACTACACTATAGGGGTTATTAATAATAGTTAAATCGGTTGAAAGGTTAATACTACGTACAAAAACACAAAGACTATAATCCTTATTATTAAAAGGGATTGGGGTAGTCTACTGATCAATACCTTCTTCGTTATTAAAATTATTACTCGAATCGTTATTAGTATTAAGGTTCTTTACCTTCTTAAACTTCAATTTAGTATTATATAGTACGTTTTTGATAATATAGAATAAATAGAACTATTATTAAATATCAGGGAATATCGTTTCCAAGGACTACTTTATTTCCTTACTCTTATCCGTAACAATAACGGTAGGTTCTAGAAGGTTATATTGTCATCGTATTTGCTTAGTAACATCAATTAAGAAGTCGAATACTATTTACTTTCTGTTATTAATAATAGTAAACATATAATTAAAAATAGAACCAATATCAATAATACTAGATACTTAATAGAATAGGGAGTTGAAGCGATTAGCATTGTACGTATTATCAATAATCATAACCTCGTAAAAGCGCTAAACCATATACATATAATGTAGTAGAGTAAAAATAATACCCAACAACCTTATTTCATTATTAGGATCCATCTTTTTAATATAATTAATATTATTATTATTAAAGACTTTAATTAAAGCACCTATTAGGGTATAACTATGAAATTGTAATAGCGAAGGCTAGTACGTATATTATAAATATCCCTCCTTATATATATTAATTCTAGATAGCCGTCTCGAATAATAGAGACAATCTTTCGAACTCGTATAATATTAAGCTTTGAATAATCATCGATGGTCTTGAGTATCTATTAGTAGGTCCCGGCATTCACTAGGCACAGTCCCCACTCTATGCCCTGCCCAGACCGCACCACATCTAGCCTTCCAGACTCCGCTAATCTCCCTCTTCTTCTCTCTTCTTCTCCATAGCACACACTCAATCAATCGTATTCAACCGCTTGATCTCGTTGGTGATCTCACAGTATTTCTAGCTTCATCTTACAATATTAGGGATAGATAGAAGGGTCGTACAATTAAAGGTAGTTATATACTTAATAATAGGATTCCGCATGTAGATAAAAGTGCTAAAGACCGCTATTATTATCCTTCTTTACAA